CCGCACGGGGCGGGGGTGGGCCCGCGCGGGCGCGGAGCTTACGCGTGGCGCGGAGGGCCCCAGTTTGCCTCGGAGGATTCGTTCGCTCCCCTGGTAAATTACTAGAGCTTTTCAGGGATTAACAAATTATACTTTTTCATTTTTCATGGACGCAAAAGTAAATGAAAGCTGAATTGATTTTGCCCCTGTTATTTGACAAACAGCGCACTGTTTTCAGCCCCATGGAGTTCACGAATGACTCAGAAAAACCCAAAATATCACAGAAGGATTTTAATCACTTTAATTTTAAGAGCAGAGTGGGATACCTTTTGTGAATTGTACTGGTTCATATTTTTAAGCTTTTATTGCAAAATGTCATGGGCCAAAACCTCCTAATTTTCTAAATGAAAACTGACACTTAAGTCTAAATTTTGTAAGAGAGTTTGCCAGTCTTTAATTAAAATTGAATGTTGGCATTGCTGCAGTGTTATTTAACAATGATTTAACCCTAAAAACCATGTGAGGTAAAAATAAAACTTCCTTCTGTTAACTATCTTCTGTTCTGTAAACTGTTAGCTAGTTTACATGAAAAGATGAAATGTAAGTGTAGCATTAACAATTTAAAAGCAAAGAATCTGTTTCATGGTAAGCAAATCATGAACAGATTTAGGGTTGATAATTACAAATAACTTACATTATGAGGGAATTGCTCACAATTTTCCTCAGAACAGCATCAGATACAGGTTTTTCAGAACAAAACTGCATGAAGTCCCACAGGTCTCACACAATAGTATCCTGCATAACCATTGCTCAAGGATCCTTCGGCTTTCAGGGTGAATTTGAGCATGTTTTCAGGAATGTAAGACATCTGCTGTCAAGAGCCATTCAGGTATCTCGGTGCTTCACTTCACCATGAATAAACATCTTTAATCCCACTTTATTTTATATTTTTGCCAGAGGCATTAGAATGTTACTGCAAGTATAGATAATAAAATTGTATGGAGGAATACTAGATAATCTATGCAGCCAGATGTATATCCTGCCACTCTTCCTGGCAAAACTAAACCTCTGTTCAAACTGGATTTGAGTTCAGATCTGATGTCAATGGAAATCTTTCCGTTATTATGGAAATGCCTCAGGATTCTGCTGCAGTTGCTCATGTGGCAAAATTTATTGCTTCCAACTAACTAATTTTAGCACCTTACATTAAGAATCTGTTAAAAGGATATTTGTCAGGAAAAAAAAAAAATCTATCTAGAGCCAGGGGACCAGACTGTACAAACCAAGGGCCAGCCCACAGAAGCACTGATCTCTTGTACAAATAGTGGCAGTCTTCATGTAATACCGAATAAATTGATTTACAAGTCTGCCTAAGTAGCGAGCTATATAATTGATTCTTGAGATCAAAGCATTCGGCCTGGTCACACTTTTGCTTTGTATCATGAACCAGACACGTTTTCCGAGTGTCTGTGACCACAGCTTTCCATCCTCCTGCATCAGTTAGCACATACTGCTCGTTGTCACTGTTAGCCTTGCATGCTGTTCTTTTTGAACCTCCAGGTCCTTCTCCTGTCAGGTGAATTGCTTCGGTTCTGATGTCCACCCTTTGTCTTCTCCTGAAGCCTGTGTTTTCCTTTAGCTAGCTCTGAAATACCTGCATTTTCCTCTAAGCCAGTGTTTCTTTAACTGCAACCCCTTTCTGGCTCCTCTGGGGTACGTGCAGATTCCTGAATCAGTAAAAGCTCACATGAGAGACACCATAGTTACCAGTTTTAATGATCACTGACAGAATTTAGTTACTATTTGAAACTAAACACAGTTAGCAGGTGTCCAGCTGTCAATGCACTTTATTTGCGGATAGGAATTGCAGTTTTGTCCCCACTCTCCTGTCTTGGACCATCTAAACCTCTTTTTACTAATACTGCTTCTTTATCACTTTGCAGTTGCTTTGAACCTTGCTGGGAACTCTGAGAGACACTGCTGTAACCTAAACTATACCTGGGCTGTAGAGAGCGGACATATCACTGTAGCATCTGATGTAACGCTCTTATGTCTCCTTCATTTTTTTCTTCTCTCTGGCTCCCAGTCTCCTTTGAAAGAATATAGGTGCCACGAAGATGGAGTGTTCAAAACATACTACTAAGAATATTTTACAAGTAACAAATCAGATAGGCATGTACCACTCCTTTCATTTGTTTTCAGAATCTCTATGAATTCTTGTAATACATCTATAAAAAAAAAATGCTGAAATTACTGTCCAAAGCTGTGGGAGCTGGCTCAATTAATGACACAAATAATACATTTTTTATTCCAGTTCAGCATGATAGATCAGCAGGTAGACAGACAGATGCTTATCTGAGAATGGGAAAAGGCAAGCACTATTCGTTGGTGTGGGCTGTAATTCTTCTCCTAAGTGCAATGAGCAGAAGCTGGCCTGGTTGCTAGGATGTAGTGTTGCTGTTCCCATAGCAGCCAGTTTGTTTACCTTCTGTGCTGCTGCTCTGAGCCTCCTGGAATACTTAGTCTCACATTTACAAGGAAAACATACACTGCTGCTGTGGAGATTGAGGCTGGAAGGCAGTTGGGGGCAAACCTTCCAATTAAGTGGAACTGAGGCTGTAGCACATAGCTGGGATTTGTCATCAGGAACACTCCAGGCCAGGAGCAGGAGCAGTAAAGAGGTGTATGAGGGAGAAGAGGGATTGTTTTAAGGCACTTGTCCTGGAGTCTGGGCAGAGCTGTATGTTGCTGAGGAATAGCTGTGTGTATTTGAGGGTGAAGAATTGTCTAAGAAGCACTGGATAAGCACTGGATAAGCACCATGCAAAGATAGGTAATTTGCTCTTTGATCAAACTGGTGTGATTTTGTATGTATTTGGGGCAGTAGTTTACCCCTACATTAAAAGAACGTCCCCAGTAGGCTTTATTCTTTGTTCTCTTTTAGCCTTCTCCAGGCTTTTTCATTTCCTCATTTATCCGATGTATTTCCTCCTTCATCTTTTCAGGTCTTGTTTTCTCCTTTTTTTCTAACAACTGTTTGATTTCTTCATTTGATGTAGAGCTCATCCAGCTCTCCAGCTCTATTCTTAAAACTTATTTCTGCAACTAGTGGGAGACTATCTTTGGTCGTTCTTTTTTTTCACTTCTCTGTGCTTGTCTGTGTAGTAATTCCTCCCCCCCCTCATATGTCTCCTTTCCTTTTCTTTCCCTTCTCTTCCTCATCCCATCACTGTAGGCTCATCTTTCCCTCTCAGTTCCACTTTCAAGACACTTATTCTCTCCTTTCTCCTAGCTTCCATTCCCAAATTCTTCTGTTTCTTCGTTCTCCCACTCCAAACCTTCTCCCCACCGCTTCTTAGCAAAGTCTTGGGGAACCTTGAGCAGGAAGCGTCTTTTCATACCTTCCTCATTTTGCAGGTAAAAGGGAGACTAATCTTTCCCACCCTCATGGACTTGTCTTTTCCTGTTCCTGCTTCTGCAACCAAAAATAATGCTATTCCTGTTTCCAGGTTACACATCCCAAGAACTGAGCCGTGACTCTGTTCCTGCATTACATCCAGAACCTTTCCAAAACACAATGGCCAAATTGTTGCAAGCTCCACCCAAATGTCTTCTCACAGAATGGCACATTGCAAACAAGATGCAGTGTGCCAGGACAGAGTCTCAGAAATCCAGGTCAGAACGTGTGACAGCTGAGAGTCAGAGGCTGGTGGATGAAACAGAAAAGACAACTCAGAAGACCCAAAGTGACGTCAACAAGAAAATAGGTAATCCTATGTGTTCTGCTACATTCTGACAAGATGTGTTATTTGAGCTATGTGATTAAAATGGACTTAGAAAAGCAGGTGATACTAAATAGGAGTACATGTAGTACATGTCAATGCCATGTTATCTGATCTCATGGAAAAAAATAAAAATATTTTAAAAATTATTTTGAGGTGAGTTCTTTATTTTATAACAGATGAGTTACTGGTCCAAAACACACAGAAAGATATTCTACCCAAATCTCCTGACACAGGGTTGCAAATCTGTCTCTGAACATCAGCCTAAAGCACTGAATGCACTCCACTGAGCATTGAGTCTATTTCTATCCTTAGCTAAGGCCTGACCCACAGTGCTTTGGCATAGAAGAAGGGCTTTGTATTAATACTTATTTGCAATTTTCAATCTGCAGAACAGAGGCTAGAAGAAATAAAATTCTGGAAGCAAGAATTAGATGACAAACTTGAACAGATTGTTAAGGAGACGGAGGTACTGTTGACTTTCAAGACCAGGCTGGAGAAAGCCTTAGAAAGCTGCAAAGAGCCACTTGTCATTGCCCAACAGTGTCTCCTGAACAGGTGAGATTAAGAAAGAAAAGCATGCAAGGAGAGAAGAAATATAGGTAATGAATCATTAACAAATAATAAAAAAGGCTGCAAGCTAAGGTCTTACTTCTGTTTGCAGTGGAGTCATAGTCTTATTTATGTGGTATAACACTGGGGAACCAAGGCTATAAAAGACAGATGACTGTTTCCAGTGTAGCAAGGCCTTAGTTATGGAAAGCTGGTCTTCACCATTTTCAATTAACTGCAGATAGTTGAACAGTGTGGCTGATGACTTTTCCTCTTTTTCTTTAGGGAGAGGCGAGCTGGGATTGACTTGGTCCATGATGAAGTGGAACAGGAACTGGTCAAGGAAGCTGAAGTCCTCCAAGGAGTTATTGCTTTGCTTGAACGCACATTGGAACAAACCAATGAGCAAATCAGGTGCAGAGCCAAAGAGCCTAACTGAACGCTCGTTAGCTGAAAAGTAGGACAGCAATCTTCCTGAGAAGCTGTAGAGTCAGGCTGAACATGGGTCCAAAGTTATCACAGAATCACAGAATCGTTTAGGTTGGAAGGGACCTCTGGAGATCATCTAGTCCAACCTCCCTGCTCAAGCAGGGTCACCTAGAGCATATTTCCCAGGATCACATCCAGGCGGGTTTTGAATATCTCCAGGGAAGGAGACTCCACTACCTCTCTGGGCAACCTGTTCCAATGCTCAGTCACCCTCACAGTGAAGAAGTTTTTTTATCTTCAGTGCTAAACAGCTACAGAAGTTCAGTCCTCGTTCACACCATTTGATCATTAATGGTGGGAAGTTAGTTTCAGTTAGAACTGAAAGTACTTGCACATGATCCTCTGTGCTCTCAGGATCCAGACCTGTGCCTTTAATTCCAGTGGGAATTATACAATCAGTTCTGTGGAGGCAGCATCATGCTCTAGGTCTGTGGGCTTTGCAACTAACAGGTCATACATGCAGAATTCCATAATAGCATTTGCATTGTCAGAGTTTATCTTCAGAGTCTGGTTGTTTTCCCTTCTAGACTGAACCGTTCAGCAAAGTACAACCTGGAAATGGATCTGAGGGACAAGTTCACAGCCTTAACGATTGATGATTACTGTGCTAGCTTGACAAACAACACTCCTGATATCAGATATGCTAATAATGTGGTGAAAATAGGAGGAAAGTAAGTGGTTATTTCACTCAGTGAACATACATTCAGCTCATACAACTAGTATGAGTTTTTCCATAATAGACCAATTAAAATAATTGTGTGTATGACAGATTTTCTGTCCATCATGTCTGTCATAGAATTTTTTACACTTCTGTCCATCACGTCAGTATCTGTGTAACAGGCCTGTGAAGTAAGCCACAACACTCATGCTTCTAGCAAACTGCAGTTCATTAAAAGATTCTGAGGCTAACAGTTAGCTATAGCAAAATTTCACACGCTGCTGAAACCCAGACTAGCTTTACTAATCTAACTAACTTCCTCTCCCTGCTAGGGTGTCCTGGTGGGGAGAGTGCTGGACTGGGACACAGGAAGCATAGGGTCAGTGTCTACCCTGTCATTAACTTGTCATAAAGGCTCCTTCTTGTGTGTGTTAGCGTGAATGGTTTGAGTGGAGAAAGAACTACCATAAAAGAACAGGCTGAAGACAGGAAAAATACATGTTGAGAAAGTAGCGTGTGTGATGCTATCTGAAAAAATAGATACACTCCGGAGATTAGTAGTGCTGTTGATGCTGCGAGAACAGATGAACTCAAAACACCAAGAGTCTGGCAGCTCTGTACAATGCCACTAGTACCAGTTAGTGTGCATCAACAATAGGTTGAATAACTTGGACCACATCTGGAAGGGTGTTGGCTGCTATATGCAAATGATGACTACAGGGTTATATATACACCCCTATGAAACAAAGGCCCCTCTGAGGGGGCTTTCCAACAAAAGAAAGACCTTTCTTGCCTTCCTACAAGCTGCTGGTCTGCTGGTAGGACCTTCCACTTCTGGGCATACAGGTGGGTTTGGCATCACAACAGTGGCTCCGACCAGGTAACTATGAGTGATTATTTTAGCATGCAAGTGAACTGTGGGAGTAAGTGAATGTGCTGTGTAAATAGTTACCTGCTATAAATAGCAACTGCTTAAGTCTATCAATAAAAGCCTAATTAATGAAAGGTGTTCTAAGAAATATCAGTCATCTGTGCCTCCCTCTACAACTCATCAGGAAAAAGAAAAGTTTTAACAAACCTGCTTCGTGATTTTGGCAAACTGGTTTCCATCCTACTTTTGTCTCTAAAATGTTTGAGATAGGGAGTCTTTATTTTGTATCCGTAGAATTCCCAGCACAGCTGATGCCGGCTGGAGCCTGCAGTTAATAGTACTGCTTTGTTCTTGTTAACATTAATACTTGTTTTTTGTGGAGTAATAAGTATAAATTTATGAATTCACAGATAACCTAATACTGTCAGTTGTTGACCTTTTATTTTGAATCTCTTCCAGTTCTGTGAGCCTTGAAGACTGGATAGATTTTTCAAATGTGAATATTGAAAAGGCTGACAAACAGCGAAACAGTTCTTTGGCACTGAGGGCACTGATTGACCGCATCCTCTCCCAGACAGTGAACGACATGCGCAAGCAATTTGAGACGGTGAATGTCGCTTTCAGAAATAGGGTGAAGGAGGTCAAGGTTGCAAAGCACAAGCTAGAGACACTCCTCGCAATGGTAAGTGGTAGGGGACAAGTCAGCAGAAATGGTGGAAACAATGGGCTAGGGCCATCAGCCTGTTCTGTCAAGGCAGTTTCTTGAGCTATTATTCTTTAAAATTTTCATCTTTGCAGCACTGGCAAACCTGGCACTCTTTTTTTAATAAAATACTTCTTAGATTTTATTTTATCAGCTCTATGTGCACCACTACAGAGGTGAATTTCTGGAATCAGCCACTCAATGGAAACATTGCTGTAGACTTGAGTAAAGTCAGGATTTCCCTTGTGCTTTATAGACACATGGGGCTCTTAAAGGCTTTTCACAATTGTGATGCAAAAGCCTAATAGCTCAGAAAACCAGAGGCAATCTGCCTCAAATTAGATACATGAAAACTGAGCTTTAATGTTAATACCTAGAAGTTAATTGCTGCGCTTAAATTCCAACTCTTGCTCATAACACTGTCACCTCCTCTCCAATAAAGGAATAATAATCCTGGCCAACCTTTGTAAAATGCTTTGATGAAATACATTACGCGTGTTACTGTGATTGTTATTACCACAGCTGTTAAAGAATATGTTGATGATCTCACTCACTGTAAGAGGTAATGTGAAGCCCTTCCTTCTATTGGGTTTGTTAAGGTGATGGATGAGACTGCCTCACAGGAGAAGAACATTGCAGCCTTAGAGAAAGCAATCACTGATAAAGAAGGACCTGTTAAAGTGGCTCAAACTCGCTTGGAGGCAAGAACCCATCGCCCCAATGTGGAACTGTGTTGTGACACAGTGCAGTACAGGCTGATTAGTGAAGTTCAAGAAATTACAAACAATATTCAGAGGCAAGTGAACAGATGAAAGAGTGGGAAATCTGTAGTATAGATTACTGGGTTAATTTTTGCTGAAAGGCTGGGAATTGCGTTTTTCCTTTAGGAGTGGGACACTTTAAGGGAAGCTGCATGGCTATTGTCTCTGTGTGAATCCCCTTCCGTGGGTTTTTTCCACCAAGGTTTCTTATCCCATATGAAAAATATCCATGTGTTTTCAACTAATATCTGTCTATTTTTTCCCTGTTAGATTGAAGGACACATTGGCACAGGCTAAAGCAGAGCTGAAAGGTCTGAGCCGCCGTCAACTTTCTTTGGAGGAGGAGATCCAGGTCAAGGAGAATACATTGTACATTGATGAAGTGCTCTGCATGCAAATGAGGGAATCTGTTTCCATTAACAGCTTCTGAAACTGTCACACGGGGAGGCTCTGTGTGTTCCAAGAAGCTAGCTCCTGCTCAGAGATGGGGTGGTGCAAAGTTGGAGTCAACAATGCACTACTGATTCTTCTTTTATGAGGTAATTAAAAGAGACCTAGCACCCCCAATTCTCTGTGTCATAGCTATCTATGCCCCAGAACATCCAATGAAATCTCCCATTTAGCAGTAAAGTTACAGAGTAAGAAGGAATGTCCCCTCTTCCATGTTACTTACCTTGGGTGCAACCCAAGATATCGTTTGCCATTGAGAAGTGTAGAAGCTGTGGCAGCTAGAGCAGGAGTTCCCTCATAAGCCATTTGTTAGAAAGCTGTGCAGCTGGCAGACTCTTAGGACTAGCTATGGTGGGTTTTGTTCTTAACATATATCTGCTTTAGGGACTGGGTACACATGTATATCAGACTTAACAGGAGGTAGGGACTAGTAATATATTGGATAGTGCATCTGACTGCATCTGAGTCAAGATCAAGCCCAAGGCTGACTTTGGGCTAATCACTTCCTCACTCTATGCCTCAGTTTCCCTATCTGTAAAATGGAAACAATGAGACGGGCTTCATTGGTAAGGTGTTTGAAGTTCTACAGTGAGAAGTGCTGAATAGAGAGGAGGGCCTTATTTTTACTAGAGATGCCTGTAAGGGTGGCAAACGTCTCAGTGCTAGGAAAACAAAGCAAAGGCAAGAATAAATAATGGTAAAGACATGGAAGGCCAGTTCCCAAATCCAACATTTTTAATTCATGGGATTGTAAAATTGTCCCTTGCCTTCCTCTTGCTCTAATGGTATCTCCCTTTTAGAGGCACTGCTGACAAGATTCAAGTGCCCTATTAATGCCTTCGAAAGGATCAGTTCATCATTTGCAGGTGTGACTGGGTGTTTTTCTTTCTCCCTGTGGCTTACACCATTGGGTAGGTGATGACAAAATAATTAAGCTCTGAGTCAATCAGGTATTTGAACTTCTTGTAAATATCACGCAACAGCCGATCCTCCTCACTGGTCTCTTGTCGGGCTGTGTAAATCCTGACCTGTGTGCATGAATGGCAGTCATGTCTCTCAGATACATGGCTCAGCCATTGAAGCTGGTGGCAATAGGAAGCCACTGTGACTACTAAGGAGTCTAGGAATCTACTAGTCAAATTCCCTGGTTTTGAATCAGAATCCTGAGGTCATTACTCTGTTTTCAGTCTAGACTGAGTGAAGACTCTGACTCATCTCCTGCCAAAGAATTTTTGGGGAGAACAAGGCTCCTTTTGCCCCCAGAACTGATGCATCCCTGGGATCTGCATAGATCTGGGAGGACTACTGAAGTTGGAGTCCAGCAGGCAAAGCATCATGAAAGCATGGCTTTCTCTAGCTACTGTTGTGGCCTGGCCATAGTTCAACACAGCATCCTTATTCAGTGAGATGTGTTTATATCCTTGTACAATTTAGTGGGATTCAACCACATGCTTCAAGTTAAGCATAGACCCAAGCACTGGGCCTACAATGTGACCAGGGATCCCTAGCTTGAACTGGGAGGTGACAAGGGACCCTTTGCCTAGCAAGGACTTGTGGAATAGTTGGGGCCGGTTAATAAACTTTAACAGTATTCTGTTCATGGCTGAGTAGGTTGAAGAGACTCATTTCTGTTACCAGAACATGTTAAAATAGAATATAGGGAAGGTGGTTATGTTAACATTTCCATAAATGACCTTTCTAAGGGGAAGGAGACCTCACCTTTCTCTGGGTATAGGAGAGAGGAAGAGAATGGGAGTTTTGCAGCACAGATTCTTACCTTTATGGTAGTCAAAATGCATTTCTTCTCTGCACGATTTTGTAGAAGCTTCTCCATAAAGGTGACATTAAGAAATGCCCAGACTTTCAGAAAAAACAACCTCTTGCATGATAAGATGAGCTGTAGCAGCTCATCGTCCAGCAGTTCATGGTCATTGTTTACTTCAAGAGTTAATTTCTTGAAAAATAAAGAGCACTGTTAGTACTTGTGCAGCTCAACAAAGCTTATTATCAAAAGCAGCAATAATCAGAATTCCATCAACAAGAGCTTCACCAAATTTTACAAACAGAAGTGATTGTCAGCAGATCAATGTTGTACCTTGGCATCAGCAGAGAATCCTTTTTTTTTTTTTGGATAACAATAGTATATACTATTATAATCTCCACTTTCCCATTAAGATGGGAATCCCTTGTGCATTACACACCATTCTCAGAGACAGAAAACTTTCAGTACCATCCAGAAGTTGCAGCATCCACAGCTCATGCCATGATATTATTTCATATATCAGAAATTATCCCAGATAAAAAATAGATCCAAAGACAATTTCTAGACAGCTTTACAGATCTGCGGTGTTTACTAGAAACTCTGCAATGCAACAGAACTTAAAGAAAGCTGTCAGCAACCAATAGTTATAAGGCCATCTGCTTCCATCAGGCATGCACAGGATGGTGCTCATTTACAAGGGTCAGCTTGGCACAACTCTGGGAGGGCTAAAGTGCCTTGACATGGGCAACAGTTAATTCACATATGCTGTGACATCTGTACATTGCCAAAACGGAGCAAAACTGTTAAGTGTAGGCTGAGGCAGCCTACAGCCCTGTAAACAAACAAGGCGTATAGAGCATTTTCTTCATATGC